GTGAACAAGATAAAAATGAGAAAAAAGGTAAGTGTTGTCATTTTCATTGAAATAACAGTTTAAATAAAGGAGATTTAATATCAAAAAAACCTATATGACTCCAAACATTGTGAATAAAAGTACTTCTAAAAGTATTTAAAACCTCTTAAATGTTCAGGTTTAGTTTAGCAGTTAGGAAACTGTTTTGTTTCAAATTTTTTCTGTAGTAAAAACACTTTAGACATTTAAAGCTGTTAACATCACGGAGGTTTCTCTCTCTCCCTGATGTGTATTATCTGTAAATCTTTGGTGAAATTAATGAAAACTGCAAGTACTTTTACATGTCTTTTTAAATTATACTTTAAAGGATCAAAAAGAAAAAGTGACCGAATGGAATCTACTGACACCAAGCGACAAAAGCCTTCTGCCCATTCAAGACAGTTGATTTCTAAGCCACTAAGTTCATCTGTTAGCAACAATAAAAGAATAGTTAGCACAAAAGGAAAGTCGGTCACAGATTATAAAAATGAGGAATATCAAAGATCTGAAAGAAACAAGCGTCTAGATGCTGATCGGAAAATTCGTCTATCGAGCAGTTCCTCTAGAGAACCTTATAAGAGTCAACCTGAAAAAACTTGTCCTCGGAAAAGGGATCCTGAACGAAGGACCAAATCTCCTACACCAGATGGTTCTGAGGTAGTAAATGTTATTGCAGATAATAAAACAAAGCAGTTCTTTTGAGGCTTTAGAACTATTTGTTCGTCTTGACCTTGTCTGTTATATGACTGCTGATTCCCTTTTTCTTTAAACATCAGAGAATTGGGCTTGAAGTTGATAGACGTGCAAGCAGATCCAGCCAGTCTTCAAAGGAAGAAGTGAACTCTGAAGAATATGGCTCTGACCATGAGACTGGTAGCAGTGGTTCTTCTGATGAGCAAGGCAACAACACTGAGAATGAGGAGGAAGGAGTGGAAGAAGATGGGGAGGAAGATGAAGAGGTAGAAGATGATGCAGAAGAAGATGAGGAAGTAGATGAAGATGCAGAGGAGGAGGAAGAGGAAGAGGAGGAGGAGGAAGAGGAGGAGGAGGAAGAGGAAGAGGAATATGAACAGGATGAAAGAGACCAGAAGGAGGAGGGAAATGATTATGACACACGAAGTGAGGCCAGTGATTCTGGTTCTGAGTCTGTTTCCTTCACAGATGGATCTGTCAGATCTGGTTCAGGAACGGATGGATCAGGTACTATTTATGTGAAAAGATTTGCCCTTTTTTTTTAAGGACTTCATTGGCTTTGGAGGTGATAAAGAATTGTTTCTTTTATCTCTTATAACTAAATTCTGGGCTACTGGGTATAATATGTTTAAATAATTTTAAATGAAATTTACTAATTTTGGCTTGGTGTGGTGGTGCATGACTTTAATCCCATGTTGGGAGGCAGAGGTAGACCGATCTCTGGGATGGAGGCCAGCTCAATCTAGTAGCAAGTTTCAGGTCATCTAGAGCTACAGGAAGCCTATCCCAACCGCCCCCTCCCACCCCCAAAAGGTACTTAACTGAAGAGATGAGTTGTTGGATGAGTAGTTACAGAATATTCGTTCCATCATGCTCTTTGCATATATTTTTTCATATTATGTAATAGGGCATTAGAAATGATTTGGGAAGGTGGGTTGGCAGTATAAATGTGAAATACTAAGCACTTGGGAGGCTGAGGCAGGAAGATTGTGAATTTGAGGATGTGTGATACCCTGTCTCAAGAACAAAACCAGAAAACATTGCTGGTATGACTAAATTGTCAGTGATTGTGGAGATGTGTGAAACCACCCATAATAGTAGAGGGTATTTTCTTAGAAGGATTGTCTTGTTGGGTAGGAACAGTGTTAGTCTTTAATGTTACTGTTAAATAATTAGGTTTATTGAAATGATTAGGGTCTGAAATAGTTTGCATTTTTAACAAGTTCCTACGTGAATCTTTT